GGGAAGGAAGGAGGGAAGGAAGGAGGGAAGGAGAGAAGGAGGGAAGGGGAATGCTTAGATATCTTACTAAACTGAATTTGTTTTAGAACATGTCATAAAGGTGTGATGTTATTGGAGATCTATTAAAACTGTAAATGAATGCCTTAGGTGGTTGTGTCTTTAAATATAAATGATTCTAGATAAAAACATGTTTAAATCAAATGAGAATTGTGGTACAGGGATAGTAAAATACATAATTTTTCTTTCTTGACTTAAAATGTACAACTTGATTTGAATGAAGTATATGTAAGAATTGTGGAAGAAACACATGGAATATATTTGTAACCAACAGATACGCTTTCTACAAGATGTAACGAAAGATGATTCTTTTTTTGTGTGTTTTTGTTTAACTAAAACAATAAAAAAAATTCTCAGAAAAAAAAGCACACAGTTTGAGAGTTTTCCCCAATTTCTTGTCTATGGATCTAGAAGTAGCAGCATCCACAGGGGGATGAAAACAGGCAAGGGAATGCCTAGGGCAGTGTGATCAAAGCATTACCCATCAACAGATCAATATGTGTACAAAAGGTGCAGGGGTTCAATTGTATGCTACAACCAGCCATCAGCCATCTGATTTGACAAGCCACATTCACCCATCCCAGTCACTACTGTCTGCTATTCTGCAATTCCCAGAATCCAATAGTACTGTGATGGCGAATCTATGTCACACATGCCACAGGGGGCACACAGAGGTATGCGCATGCCTCCCGCTGGCCAGCTGGTTTTCAGGTCTCTGCTATGCATGCATGTGGGGAAGGCAAGGCACATGTGGGAGATGTACATCATGCATGGGGTGGGGCGCACACTGGGTGTTGCACATGCCCCTGAGGGAGGGGGTTATAGGTGGGTGGGTGTGCATGCACGGGGGGCCATTGGGGGAGGTCTCTCATGCATATGTGGGATGGGACACATGGGAGGGTCATGTGCGCATTGCATTATGGGTGCACACACGCATGATTTGAGCACTCAGTGCTGGAAAGGCTAGCCATTACTGCAATAGTCAATACCTTAGCAAAGCATTATGTTGAGATCCACGTGTCACATTCTTTTGATCCTTAGTTGGGGCATGAGCTGCAACTAGTATGAGCACAAGTCTACCTTGCCCCACTGCTATTTAATCTACACGAAGTTCCACTGGATGTATAACTCACTGTTTGCACGTTTTAAAAAGTTGCAAGGTTATTGAATCTGAATTTGTACACAGCAGGATGCTAAACCTTATCCTTTATTTTGCAGCCCTTACAGACTCAAGCTGCAACTTTTCTTGAGAAGAGGGATTTTTGGTTAGGGCAGCCAGGCAATAAAAAGTGTTAACTTCCTTTTCCTGCTGGCCTCATCATGGACCCCTGTGCAGTGTTTCTAGTCAACTTTGAAATGTGATTAATGCTGACTGGGAAAATCTGGGAATTGTCCTCCACACAGTTTAAACTTGCCAAGGTTGAGAAGCATTGCCCCTCTGACTTCTCTTTTAAGAGAAAACTACATCCATGTGCAAAGACAGATGATGACAGACTTCATCTTTAATACAAAGAGTGGTTTAAATCTTTAATATGATCTCTGATGCATGTTAGGGATAGTAGTCCTCTGTGATCTATATCATTTCAAATGAAAATATCAATTTTGATATTTTGATATGCATCAATTTTTTTAAAGTACATGGTTTTTTTTGAATAAGGCAAGGCATTGCACCCATAATGCAATGCGCACGTGACCCTCCCATGTGTCCCATCCCGCGTATGCACGAGAAACCTCCCCGCAATCTCTAAAAGGGAATGGAGATGCCCTGAAGAAAATATATAATATGAAACTCCTGGCCCTGTGTCTTGTAAATTTGGAAAGTTTAAAACTCTTGAAAAATTTACGTGAATCATGAACACTGGTTTGTCTGCTAACCCTTTTGACATCTGTTGCAGCAATGAGGTTAGGCCAATAATCAAACAATTTGGTCCAACAAGACACAACGTTCATCAAAGCCCCATCTTCCACCACTAAAGCTCTATGGGTCTATACCTGGATATGGCACATCACGCCAACCATATGGAACACTGCGATCCTTCAGTCTCCCCCAAGTCTCAGGAGTGAAGTGCTGCTCCCACATAAACACAGGGATATCAAAATCAAACTGCTTCTCAAATGTGGGATTGTGCTTCACTCTGGATTTTAATGATGAGAGGCATGATCTAGACTGAGAGAGATTAGAAGTGAGTAAATTTGAAAGGCAGGAAACATTGCAATCTATCTATAGTTTTTTGGAAAGACCACTTTCACTGGCCATTCAGAGCAATGTGCATACAACAGGTCCAAATATATTATAGCATACCTATATTATAATTCAAGTAGTCCTCGACTTACAACAGTTCATTTAGTGACTGTTTAAAGTTACAATGGAATTGAAAAAGTGAGTTGTGACTGTTTTTCACACTTATGACCAGTATCCCCATAGCCATGTGATCAAAATTCAGAAACTTGGCAACTGACTCATATTTATGACAATTGCAGTATGATTATGAGTAAGAGCCAAGGTGGCGCAGTGGTTAAATGCAGCACTGCAGGCTACTGCTAGATCAGCAGGTCAGCGGTTCAAATCTCACCGGCTCAGGGTTGACTCAGCCTTCCATCCTTCCGAGGTGGGTAAAATGAGGACCCGGATTGTTGGGGGCAATATGCTGACTCTCTGTAAACCGCTTAGAGAGGCCTGAAAGGCCTATGAAGCGGTATATAAGTCTACTGCTATTGCTATTGCTATTATGGGTTCCCTTTTGAGACCTTCTGACAAGCAAAGTCAATGGGGAAACCAGATCCGCATAGCAACCGTGTGACTAATTTAACAATGGCAGTAATTCACTTGACAAATGTAGCAAGAAAAGTCGTAAAATGGGGCAAAACCCACTTAATAAATGTCTCAGCAACATAAATTTGGGGCTCAATTCTGGTTGTAACTCGAGGATTACTTGTACCCCAAATGCAATTTCTGTTGTAAATAATAGAAAATCCAACTCTTGATTCAGAATAAAGTGATCAAATTTTTAAAAGATAGATTCCATTTTGACACATTCAGAGTATTTGAGATTGTCCAGGAGTTTGGTTTTTAATCTCTGAAAATCTCCTACTGCACTTAAAGTAGGCAGAAATATACAGAACGTATACTGCATACTTAAAAGTATATAGAAGAATGCGAGAATATTCCGAATGTGTTTAAATCATGTGAAAATGTACAGGAACAATAGCACTGATTTATTAACTGTTTATCGATTCTAGACTCATTGTGCTGTAGTTGTGCTGAACCATACTTTATGAATAAATCACATTGGAAAGATCATGCAATACACAGAGTCATCACCCAACGAATTATTTCACTTTGGTATGAAGTTAAGATGGTAGGTATCTACTGCTACTTGCAAAGTTTTCTTATATGTGAGAAGTAATCGTTGGCCTTCATTTTTTGTTAAAATCTACAAGGACAATAGTTGTCAAGTCTAGGCCAGGCCGTACCCATACTTAAAGTTAATTAATCTGCTTAATTAACACAGAGATAAGACTGATATTATTCAACTGCAAGCAATAATCTCAATCCCAGTTCCTACAATAAAAAAGAAACTTTTTTTTTCAAGCTTGACACCTCAATTCCCAAGAACTGGGAAATAACCAATGTGACTTTGATTTCTGAAAATGGATAGCTGTTAAAAGAACCATATAGGGCAATAAGCATCTCATCCATGTAAAACGGAGGAGGAGTATCATTAAAGCATGTAAGAAAAAGCTAGCTGAAGATGAACTCTTCCTTTAAATAATGTCACGTTAAACTTTGGATATGAAAAATAAAGAACTCCTTGACGCTTATGCAGGGATCCTGAACAAACTTAGCAGTACGAAGATACATTCTATCCCAGTGTTTAAGGAGTTTCTCAGTCATCCAGATCATAGTTGTTCCAAAGGTGCTTTTTCAAGAGGCAACTGGACTTTCTGTTTTTTTTCTTTGAAGACATTTCGCTTCTCATCCAAGAAGCTTCTTTAGCTCTGACTGGATGGTGCGGAATGGAAGGATTTATAATCCTTTCCAGTCATTTGCATTCTTTTAGAAAGTCCTTGAGGCCCCTTGGAGGTTTATCTGTGTCAGGGTCACCTTGAGTGGTGCAAATGGGTGTGGAGCCTTCTTGGAATTGTTGAAAGGACTGTGTGGTAGACTGGAGATAGGTATGCCGGGAAATAACCAATGTGACTTTGATTTCTGAAAAGGGATAGCTGTTAAAAGAACCATATAGGGCAATAAGCATCTCATCCATGTAAAATGGAGAAGGAGTATCATTAAATGCCTCTCCCTCTGTTGAGCAGGGGCTGATCAGTTTTGACATAGATGGCCACTTTGACCCCTCTTTCAAGCCAGCCATCCTCTCTGTCCAAAATATGGATTTTGCTGTCTTAAAAAGAGTGGCCTTTATCTTTTAAACGCAGATGGACTGCTGAACCTTGTCCTGATGCATTTTTAAAAGTACAATTACATCTGTATGCAGCCCTATATGCAAGGGTCTGAGAGGACCCAAGTCCTTCATTTCTTCAGTAAATGCTAGAGGTACATACTAAAGGAGGTATAGCAGAGAATAATAAAAAAAAATGGTTACTAATGCATCAGTGGTCATTTGAGCATTATCACTGAAACAACAAACTGACAAATAAGATATTTTAATATGCATGATATGCTGATATGCTTGTTACCTTCTCCTTGGGGCTAGACACATCTTTCGTTGAATTTCTCCTGAAAATAAAATAACAAGGAAAAGGAGTAAAACTTGCATTTCATTGTTCAAAAACTATGGATTCTGCATTCACAGACACAATAACATTTTCTGAGGAAGTTATGCTTCCTACAATTCAAATCAAAAGACCTGCATGTAAATAGCAATATTAGATTTTACTCTCATCCCTGTTATAAGCATTGGCTAAAAGACAGGCAATATGAAAATCCACCACACTGGTACATTTTGTTATCTCCCCCCACCCCCCACCCCCACAATGGTTAATTTTTATGTAGACAATCATATAAATTCAGCATTTGCTTGCATTGTACTTACGAAGATGAAACCTGTGGTAATCTCAAACCAAGGTGAACAACCAGAATATTTAACATTTTAAGAATGAAGTCCAGCTGTCCCTCTAGTTCCTTCCTCTACTTTTTGGGTGACAGAGCTGTCTGCCAGATTCATCAGGAACCTGTTTGATCTCCCACTTGGTGCAGAGTTTGTCTCCCTTTTGATGTCAGGGTAGTTAAAAGTCTCCCATTATTATTGTGGTATATTTCCTGAACATCTAACTAATTTATTAGCAGAAAGTTCATCTATTTTTTTCATTCTATTTTGGCTGGGTGGTTTTTGGTACACACTTATGGCAATGTCATTCCTTTTATATTAACTCACATGCATTCATGAAGTTTTTCATCCTTTTAGAGGTATATTTATTTCTTACATATAATGCAACTCCACCTCCTCTTTTTTTAGATCTGTTTCTTTTGAACAATTTAAATCCTTCTAGCAGTACATTCTGGAAATGGGTTTCACCCCTCCAAGTTTGGGTAATGGCAACAATGTCATATCTGCCCTCATGTACTAGGACTTCAAATTCGCCCTGTTTGTTCCTCATACTTAGAGCGTTAGTGGATAGGCATCCGAGTCCTTTTTAATTGACCCATTTGCTTCAGAGGTGGTGTTCAGTAGGTTCTGACCAGTTCTGGAGAACCGGTAGCGGAAATTTTGAGTAATTCGGAGAACCAGTAAATACCACCTCTGACTTACCCTGCCCCTATGTATTCTCTGCCTGCCGAGTCCCAGCTGGTCGGGAGGAACTGGGGATTGTGCAATAACCCCTCCCCTGGAGTGGTGGGGGGATGGAGATTTTACAGTAACCTTCTCTTGCCACACCCACCAAGCCATGCCACACCCACCAAGCCACGCCCACAGAACTAGTAATTTAAAAAAATGAATCCCACCACTGGTTTGCTTCCTACATCTCCTGCTTCGTAGCGGAGTTCCCTTTCTTTCTTACCAGTTGGTTGATTGCCAAAAGGTTTATGCTTTGGATTAGGTCCTGAAAATTGCCTTTTCTTCTTCCTCTCCTCCAGTTTTAGTTTGCTTGTTAGTTTGTTTAGTTTAAACTGGAAACTGATCTGTGGCTTCAGCCTTTAAAATTGTCCAGAGCATTCTGAGAGTAAATATGAAATACAATTGTGTAATTCTGTAGATTTCTATCAGATCAGCTACTGAAAGCATGCCTTGCCTCCATAACGTATTTGTGTATTTACTCCAACAGAAACAATTCTTGATCACCAATTTCTAAGGACAAATATGGGTCACTCTTGGCAACAAGAACAGTAGCAGTTAACCATATAGAAAGATCACAAAAATTTAACATGCAAGGCTGATTTTAGCTAACAAAGTCAGCTGCAGGCTCTTGCTATCCCAAAATGATAAGTTTGAAACCCCATGGTATTTTATCAGAAGAAAACCACATTTCTATGAGAAGCCTAACCTCTTCATGATGGCTCTTCTAATCAAATCACGATTTCTTACATCTTGCAATATGTCTGCATCTTCTAGGTCCCATACTTCTTGCTGCTGTGTTCTGGAAAATAACAGGCAAGAGGGAAAGTTTAACCAAAGCAACCCACAAGGGCTTGTATGATGTTAGAAATCATTTCACAGTGAACAACAATGGAGTACAGCTGTACCCCATTGGATTGGTGCATGGATTAAATTAAGAGAGGCAGTAATATTAAAATAAACACTGGATAAGCAATATTGTTTAAATTTCTAGAAAAATAGCCATGCTATTCTGTAGCTGCATACATTCTCACCTCCCATTTTACAACCCCCTTCTCAAATTATGTTTCTGTATCTCCTTCCTCCAAACTATATGCAAATGTAATTTAGAACAACAGTTATAGAATAACAATTAATCTGATAGTGGCTAGCAACCCATGAAAATGTACTAAAACCTGTGTGTGTGTGTGTGTGTGTGTGTGTGTGTGTGTGTGTGTGTGTGTGTGTGTGTGTGTATTCCAGCATAATTCTGGAAAATGCCTCAAGCAATTTCAACCAAACTTGGAACACAGATGACTTACTCTCTGGAAACAAATACTGTGGGAGTAAGACACCCCTAACACCTCTTTGGGGGGGGGGTGTCTGTGTGTGTCCGTGTGTTACAGCATAACTCCAGAACACCTGGCCACTGAAATGAAAACGACTGAATTATATCTATTGTGTCAAGTCACAGTACTTTTGACAGTGATAATGTGTATTTTGGATTCAGATTCTGTTAAGATACAGCCTGTTGTGCCTTACAATGGCTTCTACTGTACAGCACAGTGGAGTTGCCATAGTAATGGCCTCACAGTATTCCACAAGGGGACTCCCTCTAATGTAGGATTGGGATAAATACATACCCGGGCTATGCCGCGTTATCAGCTAGTTAGAATCTAAAAAACACTTTGTTAGTATCTACCACACTTGCCTGAGTCAACTTCACCTTGACTATGGCTCCCTAAAGTCAATTGATACTGTCTATAAAGTGTTTTGCTAAGGAGGGAACGGAATTGACCAGATCAAAACAAAATACAAGCTGCTTCCATGCCACTTCTTGTTCTTCAAATCCTCTGTTCCAGAGCTGTGTTTCCATGCCACTATCACTGACCAGCAGCCAAGGTAATTAATTTTGGCTCAACTATGGTACAGCTGAAATCATTTCTCTCTTACCGACAGACCTTTTCCATTTGTAACGTTGAGGCTCTGCAGAATTTGTGAGCTCTTTGTCATTCCCATTGGCAACTCTTCCCTCCTCCCATTTCCACACTGTCAACACAGATGCAGCATCCTGCAGAAGGCTCTGTAAAGGCGTGACCCGTCAAAAGCGCGGACGACAAAAGCGCGATCGACAAAATCGCGCCTTTGACGTCATCACAG